CCAAAAAAAAAAATTTCTCCAAAAAAAATCCGAGTGGACCCCACTCGTCACACAAAACGATAAGATTGTAGGTCCCACATTGTAGCCAAGCCTTCTATTGTTGTGGTTCCGATTTAGTTTATGTCGAAACTCGTATAAATAATGCATATTAGTTGTTTTGAATGTGTTTCCATGTTATTTTGTATTTTTTTTGCGATTAAACTAGTATGTTATTTTTATTTGGACTAAGATATTAGTGTTCTAAAAAATTTGTAAAATTGAGAAATTATTATTATTTGTTAATAAATTTCTTTTACTGTTTTATATGTATTTTCGTGAATGTTTAGTGGTTAAATTTATTGTTGTTTTTATCTAGTTTAGATTATTTATTTCCTTAAAGACTAGTAATATAGTGCCCTTTTAAACGTAGTAAAATGTAGAGCCTTTTAGCGTAGTATCCCTGTAGTTTAAGTATCTCTTATATTGATAGATCAAACACAAACTCTGTCCAATTTATAAAACTTAATTATTTAATTTACAACACAAACATATAGAATTATGAAACTAACATGTAAAATAATAAAATTGACACATACAAGAATTCAGGATAACTTGGTGCTACTGGGCCTCGAATATCGAGCATGGAACCCATAGATATATACCCTGTCCAATTAAATATTAAATAACTTTAAAAATAATTATTTAGTTTACAGAACAAAACATACAAAATTATGAAAATAATAAAATTGACACATACAAGAATTCAGGATAGCTTGGTGCTACTGGGCCTCAAATATCGAGCTTGGAACCCATATATATATATATACTCTGTCCAATTAAATATTGTATAACTTTAAAAATTAATTATTTAATTTACAGATCAAACATACAAAATTATGAAAATAATAAAATTGACACATACAAGAATTCAGGATAGCTTGGTGCTACCAGGCCTCAAATATCGAGCCTAGAACCCATAGATATATACTCTGTCCAATTAAATATTGTAGAACTTTAAAAAATAATTATTTAATTTACAGAACAAAACATACAAAATTATGAAAATAATAAAATTGACACATATAAGAATTCAATATAGCTTGGTGCTACTAAGTCTCAAATATCGAGCCTGAAACCCATAGATATATACTTTGTCCAATTAAATATTGTATAACTTTAAAAATTAATTATTTAATTTACAGATAAAACATACAATTAATGTTGTTTAATTTAGAGTAGATGACATGGACGTGCCGCCTATGCATCCCAGACCTTTCTCCGATGAGCTATTAGTGTTACAGGAAGATCATAGGTCCGCCCACGTATGGGAGGGAGAGTTACTGGCTCAGACTCTCTGTGCCAGGAAGTGGACGACATGTGGGATTTTATGAAGGATAGAGATCTCCATCCCGTGTAGTCCAGCGCCTGCGGGTTACGGGCTTCTACAGGATTTTGGAGATCGGGCGGCTGCAGCTCGACTGGTTTTTGGTCACTGCCCTGATAGAGCGGTGGCGACCAGAGACGCACACATTCCACCTGCCCATTGGCGATGCCACCATCACGTTGCAGGACGTGGAGGTTTTATATGGGCTACCCGTTGATGGACTGCCCGTTGCATTGCCTCAGGCCATGAGAGAGATAACGCGTGGGCAGTATTTGGACATGCTGCAACTCACTAGTTTCAGGCCACAGGATGAGACAGCACACTCAGGGGCCGGTCGCATGAGTTTGACAGCTATTCGACAACATTTGGAGATATTGCACCCCGACATCAGTGGCGAGATAGATGATCTGCATATTCACCGGTATACGAGGTTGCTGCTGCTCCTTATGTTTGGAGGGGTCTTATTCTCGAACACTTCGGGGAATCTAGTTAGCTTGATATTTCTTCATCATCTTGAGCGGCTGGATGATTTATCCCAGTACAACTGGGGTGCTGCTGTTCTCGCCTATTTGTACAGGCAGATGTGCCGGGCGAACATGGGCACCCAACATAACGTATGTGGATTTTTGCCGCTGCTACATGTGACAATATATTCGAATACTCTATTCACTATAACATATCTAGTAAAAATTAATCTTAAATTTTACATCAACTTTGTATGTTAGGTTTAGGCCTGGGAGCGGACTCCGCTCAAGCTTAAAAGTTAGTAAAACTTAATGTTAGTAAAAATTAATCTTAAATATATATTCTGGTCTTCCCGGACTCCGCTCAAGCTTCCATTCAACAACCGTCCCGGGGTTAAAGTGCTGCAGCGCGGCCATGTACCTGGATAGAGCTGCAAATGACTTATCCCAGTTACCATAAACAATTTCAAACGCACGTTTGTGCCCGAGAAATGCCTTTCTTATGGTAATGGTATGGCCATATTCCTGGTGGACTGATGTAATGCATCTTTGATTTTATACCTTATGGACGCTTCAAGGTGTGGAATAAGGACAAGAGAAATCAAGTCAATATCCAAGTTGTAGTGATTCCCATTGAATGTGTCCATTTTACATATGTGGGTGGGAATATATTTACCCACTTTCCACAAACCTATGTTTTTCATGCTCGCACGTAAAATCCAATGACAAACCGTAAGCCATCTGCGGCAAACAACCTTGTATACATCCGGACATGACTCCCATACCGTCATCTCACGACACTCTTTTACGCTGTACATTTTCTCCGTCCTGCTTAGGCACACTTTATCAGGAAAAAACATGCCCTTTGCCAGCACCGTTGGTCTAGAATCATCCCACATTGCTGTCCGAATTTCATCAAAATCCCTTGTCAGAGCATCCACATCCGGCATACTTGGCAAATGATCAAGGTAGGGAATCTTCCTTAAATGAAACGACACTTAGGACTCGTACACTCTTGGTTTAACGGAGGGTGGAGCATACTCCCTCGTCAAATCAGGTCCTTCATTCTCTTCCTCCTCATCACCATTCTCACGAGGGAAGGGGTGTGTCGTCTCCGGAATCATCGACATTGTTGTCATAACCACTGTTCTCTTCCTCACTCTGTGTATCTACCAGATCCCAATTAAATATGCCGTCTTCGGGCAATTGAGTCAAGATAGGTGGTTCAACTTGCTCGTTTTCACTGCACAGACAACAAAATAAACATCATTACTGAAATTAATAAATACTTTCCATATAGCTGTATCACTTCACTTACAAGTCGTAATGTGTTGACATTCCTTGATGGACATTATCCTGTTGGTGATGACTCCCGGATGGACCACCATGATCCAACATACCAGAACTACACATATTCCAACTGGCCGTGGGTTCATAACTTGTAAAAGGTATATCTGGTTGGTACCCCATGTGGAATATGTGAGCGTTAATACAAATTCAATACAACAAAAATATACATCGTAACATAAAGGAAAATTGAAGTTTACCACTCATCTTGTGGATTATGTAAAGCAGGAGAAAAATTATTTCTTTGCTCCTCATTCGCCAGTGGTGATAAGTTTAAATCAGGGCAAACTCTTTCATCCGGAACCTGTCCGGGAAAAACTGCTCCAGAATAACCACCTGATGACTGAGGGTTATCCCTACTATGCGCAACCTCATTATTGCGAACGTCTTCGACCTAGACGTACATTTCCAACATTTTTATCACAAAAAATTTCCGGTATTCATCCGGAGTCCTCAAAAAATCCCTCAAAGTTTCATCATCATTGATGTTAAACTCAGCGTAACAAGAAATCCCTTGCGGAGTGACATAATACTGATATCTTCTGGTTACTTTAAGGTTCACCGAACGTTTCCTCACACTCATTTTATTACATAACAACGATACCAATCTATCATACTCCATTGTAAGTGGCAACTTAATATGACATTGTGGAGATAAACTATAACTCACAGAGTTATTTGCCACCACAACCTCACCCCCACCCCAATTTAATGAAACCCTTACTTTTCGCTCTTCAGACATTATGAAAAAATGCTTGAGAATTTAACAAGAAGAAAAATTTCAGCGGGAGTTAGGAATATTTTTGAATGAATTTTTGTAAAATCCTAACGCCTTTAAATAAGGCAATGCGTAGCTCGGGGGGCTGAATGTTTTTAGGTATAACGCTCTTTTAAAGGGCGCTATACACATTTGAATTATTGTTATGTTAGTTAAACGCATGAGACTTATTGGTGGGCCCACAAAACATGTGTAACGCTCTTTATAACTGCGCTATACATATATAGCGCGGTTTATAAGGGCGTTATATATATATAATGCTCTTTTAAAGAGTGTTATACCTTAACATCCAAAACGTCCATTAAAGTATAGCGCTCTTCAAAAGAGAATTATATATAGTTAGGTAACTCTTTTTTTTACACGCATTTCCGTCCTACTTGGTAAAAACAACCACAAATGGGTTCTAGACTCATTCTTTATATGATATTTGCTTTTTTCTAAAAGTTCGACTACTGTCTTTTCCTTTTTACCTATTGGGCGATAATTAGGAGTCTAGAACCTAAATGTGGTTCTTTTTGCCATGTAGGACGGAAATAAGTGTAAAAATAAAATAGTGACTTATCTATGCATAACGCTCTTTTAAAGAGCGATGTACATTAATGGACGTTTTGGACATTAAGGTATAACGCTCTTTAAAAAAGCACTATACATCTATAACGTTGTTATTAAAGGCGTTATATATATAGCACTTTTTTAAAGAGCGCTATACCTGTTTTGTGAGCCCACCAATAAGTCTCCTGCATTTAACTGACATAACAATAATTCAAATGGGTATAACACCTTTTAAAAGAGCACTATACCTAAACAAATTCAGCCCCCCGAGCTAGAAATTGCCTTATTTAAAGGCGTTAGGATTTTACAAAAATCCATTCAAAAATATTCGTAACTCCTGTTAAATTTTTTCTTCTTGTTAAATTCTCAAGCATTTTTTCATAATGTCTGAAGAGCGAAAAGTAAGGGTTTCANGTTGAGGTTGTGGTGGCGAATAACACTGTGAGCTATAGTTTATCTCCACAGTGTCATGTTAAGTTGCCACTTACAATGGAGTACGATACATTGGTATCGTTGTTATGGAAAACAATGAGTGTGAGGAAACGTTCGGTGAACCTTAAAGTAACCGGAAGATATCTGTATTCCGTCACTCCGCAAGGGGTTGCTTGTTACGCTGAGTTTAACATCGACGATGATGAAACTTTGAGAAATTTTTTGAGGACTCCGGATGAATACCGGGAATTTCTAGTGATAAAAATATTGGAAATGTACGTCAAGGTTGAAGACGTTCGCAATAATGAGGTTGAGCATAGTAGGGATAACCCTCAGTCGTTGGGTGGTTATTCTGGAGCAGTTTTTACCGGACAGGTTCCGGTTGAAAGAGTTTGGACTGATTTAAACTTATCACCACGGGCGAATGAGGAGCGAGGAAATAATTTCTCTCCCGCTTTACATAATCCACAAGACGAGTGGTAAACTTCAATTTTACTTAGTGTTATGATGTATATTTTTATTGTGTTGAATTTGTATTAGCACTCATATATTCCACAGGGGGTACCGACCAGATATGACTTTTACAAGTTATGAACCCATGCCCAGTTGGAATATGCGTAGTTTTGGTGTGTTGGATCACGGTGGTCCATCCGGGAGTCATCACTAATATGATAATGTCCATTAAGGAATGTCAACACATTATGACTTGTAAGTGAAGTGATACAACTATATGGAAAATATTTATTAATTTGAGTAGCTTATTATTTTGTTGTTTGTACAGTGAAAACGAGCCAGTTGAATCACCTGTCCTGACTCAATTGCCCAAAGATGACATATTAAATCGGGACATGGCAGATGCACAGAGTGAGGAAGAGAACAATGATTATGGCAACAATGCCGATGATTCCGGAGATGACACACCCTTCCCTCGTGAGGATGGTGATGAGGAGGAAGAGAATGAAGGACCTGATTTGATGAGGAAGTATGCTCCACCCCCGTTAGACCAAGAGTGTACGAGTCCAAAGTGCCATTTCATTTAAGGAAGATTCCTTACCTTGATCATTTTCCAAGTATACCGGATGTGGATCCTCTCACAAGGGATTTTGATGAAATTCGTACAGCAATGTGGGATGATTCTAGACCAACGGTGCTGACAAAGGGCATGTGTTTTCTTGATAAAGCGCACCTAAGCAGGGTGGCAAAAATGTTCAGCGTAAAAGAGTGTCGTTAGATGATGGTATGGGAGTCAAGTCTGGATGTATACAAGGTTGTTTTCCACAGATGGTTTACGGGTTGTCATTGGATGCTGTGTGTGAGCAAGAAGAACACATGTCTGTGGAAAGTGGGTAAATATATTCCCACCCACAGATGTGAAATGGACACATTCAATGGGAATCACTACAACTTGGATATCGACGTGACTTCTCTTGTCCTTATTCCACACCTTGAAGCGTCCATAAGGTATAAAATCAAAGAGTGCAATGCATCAGTCCACAAGGAATATGGCCATACCATTACCAAAAGAAAGGCATTTCTCGGGCGCAAATGTGCGTTTGAAATTGTTTATGGTAACTGGGATAAGTCATTTGCAGCTCTACCTAGGTACATGGCCGCACTGAACACTTTAACCCCGGGACGGTTGTTGAATGGAAGCTTGAGCGGAGTCCAGGAACACCAGAATATATATTCAATTACGTGTTCTGGGAATTTAAACCAGTAATTGATGGTTTTCGCATTGCCGACCGGTAATATCCATAGACGACACTCATGTCTATGGAAAGTATGATATCAAGCTATTGATCGACGTTGCAGTAGATGCTAATAGACAAATATTTCCTCTAGCTTTTGCTATTTGTGACAATAAAAGCCAAGAGACGTGGACGCTGTTTTTGAACCATTTGAAAGAGCACGTTGTCAAACAACGTTCCGGTATTTGTCTAATATCTGATCGGCATGGTGGTATCTTAGGTTCTGTAGAGAATTTGCCTGCATGGCAAGAACCTTATGCCTACCACCGTTACTGTGTGAGGCACCAAAAGGCCAATTTCCAGAAGGCACATCCCAACAAGTATCTGCATGATTTGATGTGGATGTCAGCAACAGACCACCAAGAGCATAAATTCCGGAGGCACATGGAATCTATTAGGCAGGAAGACGATAGAGCCTATCGTTGGTTGATGCGATATGAGCTCGACAAGTGGACTTTGCATGCGGATGGTGGAAAAAGATGGGGAATTATGACTACAAATGTGTCAGAGTCTTTCAACGGGTTATTGAAGTCGGCAAGAAGATTGCCTGTCACATCCATGGTGTGCATGTCATTCAAGCAGATGGCGGGGAGGTTTGTTGAAAGGGCCACAACTGCAACGCCATTAATGGAAAGGGGTGTTGAATTTATGCCACCAGGTGGCAAGCACATTGGCATTCATTTTTACAGTATGATCAGGATAGAAATATTTTTAAAGTTTGCACCGCTATCCATCAAAATCGGGGGTATAATGTACATACCATAAATGAATCTACAAGGTTATGCTCTTGTGGGAAATGGTCCATCTACCACATGCCATGCTCACATGCCATCAGGTGTTTTCAACATGTTGGTTTAGGGACAACCAACTACGTTGATAAACAATATAGTGTTGCTGCATACTTAAACACCTATAATGGGCAGTTGATCCATGTCTACCATTTATATTGATCTTGTCGGCCCTTAAAGATAATAAGGAAGGTTAGATAAAATGTACGTTGGTGCTCGGCAAGTATGGGACGACAAGATCGTCAAGAAACTATATATAAGGTACGAGCTACCACGAGTCGACACCTGTCTATGAGCCTCTAAAGGAACATAAGTTCTACAACATTGCCGGAACAGGGCCCCAACATACCCATAATGTCTATAACAAAAATGCATACCAAGACCACGGCAAGTCCGGAGAAAGAATCTTGCCAATAACCGCTAAACTGGATAGCCTACTGTGGTGGGGGAGCTGCGTCTACCCGTCTATCAGGACCTGCAGCATGACATGCAG